CGCCCTGCCGCCGCCACCTCCACNCCCCACCCCCTCGGGCTGCAGCCCCCCCCACGGCGCCCCCTATCGCCTCCATCTGCCCCAGCCCCGGCGACTTGAGGTCCATTCCGATGCCAGATAACGGCTTGGTGGTCTTGCCGCCGGCCAAAGTGGCGGAGGCGGGCTTGATCTGTTTGGCTGTGGTCAGCAACGGGAAGGGAAGGGAAAAGCCCAGATGAAAGCAAGGGGTGAGAAAGAAAACAACAACACGTCGTCAAGGGGACATGACAGCATGGGGGAGGACCATCAGATGCAAAGGGGACGCATGGGCGCTCAACCGCCGACGTCCAAGTCACCAGCTGCTGGAGTTCACAGCAGGACTCCCCCCGGGGGGGAGGGGGTTAAAATCTTATGCAAGGAAACCGGGGGAAAGGGGGGAAGGCCGGCGTGCGCCATCTAAGAAAAGAAAAGAAAAGCTTCGTGGCATTGTGTGCTGCGGGGAGTGATGCAGCATGGAAGGGAGGCGCGCTCAAGGACCCCGCGCAGGGGGTTGCACAGCGGGTTATGGATGGCCGGGGCCCCCGCAGGTGTGTGTGTGTGATGTGTGGATAGATATTACAACCAACAACCCGAACAACCCAAACAAGACCCTAGATGACACGAACATCCCAGTTTGCTGCCAGTTTGTGTCAGGTGTGCTCCCTTCCCAATCCCCCGCGTGCCTCCTTTCCCCGGCTGGGGTGGCCTCCCGCCGCCCCCCTTCCTCCTCCCTTCTCCTACCCGCAGTTACCCTTGTCCTTGTCGCCCCTAACCTTGCCCCTCCCCCCTCCCCCTAATCATCATCTCCCCCTGAGCCCAGTCGCACTTGTGACTCCATGCGGTGGTGCCCTGGGCAGATCCTTCCGCGGCAGCTCATCCCAGGCGTTCTTAGCCCCCTGGCTTGCGGGCCGGATGCGCTCCCTTTGGCCGTGGGACTGAGCGGGTTGGTTGCCAGGCGGGTTGCCGGAAGGGGAAGGGGGGGAGGCACCGCTGGCCGGGCCCCGGGGGCGGCTATCCAACATGGAGGGTTTGCGGTGTGAGAAGGGCGGGTGGTGAGGGGAAGTGGGGCAGTATGCGAAGCACGGCCGGTGTGAGAAGGGCTGGCGGGTGCTGACAGACGGGTGTGGCCAGCACCGGCGTTTAACCTAACGTGGAATGTCCTGTGTCGCATGGGGGTATGCGTGCGCGTGCGTGTGTGTGTGCGTGTGTGTGTGTGCGTGTGTGTGTGTGTGTGCGTTGGTGTGTGTGTGTGTGTGTGTGTGAGATGAGAGCGGGGTGTCGGTTGGCGAGTGGCACAGGTGAGCTTCCCGTTCCAGGCAGGCAGGCTACACGGCGGCCCCCAGCTCCGGCTCCAGTGCGTGCTTTCCAGCCCGTGTAAGCTGGGGACTGAGCTTTGCGGCGTGCCGCAGTTGGGAGGGGGTTCGTACGCAAAAGATGGAGGGCGATACTGGTTTGGCGGCGCGATCCTGCTGTGAATTTTAGTGTGCTGTAGTCCAGTGTGCTCTCGATTTCCTCGCCAGCTTTCTTTCCAAACTCACGCGACTGAGCGTAGAGCTGAACGATGGCGACGCGCGGCAAACGTCTCTAGGCGCCAGTATATGGAAGAGGCTGCGGGCGTCTTGCGGGTCCCAATCGGCTCCCTGCCACGAGCTAGCAAACGGACGAACACCCACACAATCCCTAGGAAGCGTCTTTTCCTTCCGAGCCTTTCCCGCCATCATCACCCCTACCTTCCAGGACCAGGTGCTGCTCCCGCGCCCGCGCCGCCACCGGCCTCACCCGCCCGCATGGGATCAACACCGCGGTTGGTGGGAGCCTTGGACCAGGTTCCACCCATCCCGCCCGCATAGCCGCCCACGTAAACACCGGCCGCACGGTCGCCAGCCGAAACACCTCCGCCGGCGTTGGCCGAGCGAATGGCACCGGCTAGTCGGGCACGCGTGGAGTCACCCATGGTTCCGGACATCTTGGCAGGCGATGTCCGACCGCGTTAGCAGCTGGTGACCAAACGGGATACTAGCGTGCTATATATGCAGGAAAGCTACGGATTGTAAGCGAGACAAGATTCCAAGACTGGAATCTGCAGTCCTGCAAAGCTGGTGCTGAGTCAAACTGCAGTGTTGCTGTGATTTGTCTGAGACGATAAGAGATCCAGCTACCGGCTGGATATATTACCGATATGGAAGCTCATGCTAAGACAACATAGCTTGATACAAACACACGAGTTGCAGGCTCGCACGATACTACTGCATATCCACATACCTCGGGTGTCCCTAGCTTGCTCAACTAATCTAGCTAAAATCTATAGCACATTCATTACACGTATCGTATGGGCGTGAATTGTTGCTATCGATACGGGTAATCCTCCTAACGCATAGTCGAAGTTGCATACTCAAAAGAAGGTATCAATCTTCTGCATTGGTAAGTTGCTTTACAAAAATCTTCTACCGTAGATTAATCGATGGCCGCAACAAGCATACACAAACAGGTCCTGTGCCTTGGCCAACCGCTGGCAACTGAACCATTCCAACATGCCCAAACTTGTGCGTTGCGCTGTATCCGCAGCCATATCATACAAAATCCCTTAATTATAAAGACGTCATACCTCGGGGGCAATCTGGCATTAAGATAGAGGTGTGGCAGATTTGGATCTGACTTCCTCTCCCTAGGGAGCTGAACATTTGGCACGCAACAATAGGTGACGAACCCAAGCAGGTGAAGTTACAGAAAACGCCTTTTATTATATTCTATCGTATGTGATCTATGTAATTTGCCGAGCTCATATCATGGCTCCTCCAACTACCCACCGACCGCTGACCGCTGCCCTGCGTTGCGTGCCCATCTGACAGCTTTCACTCCCTTTGCGAGCAATGTGCGGGTTGAATCGATAATAACCATGCCATTGCGCTTTCGCACGTCGCTGGAATGTCTCACCCTTCTGACCGTGGGTAAGGTCAGCGGTCGTTGCTGTAGGGATAAAGAGGACCAGAGGGCCACCGCTGCCCGAGTTTTGTTGGGGGCTTCATCACCACGGCGGATTGTGAAGGAATTTGTTAATTGCGCCACTTTCGTTGCTAGGTGGGGCCTTATCTTGCATTGTAAAGCCGAACAGCCGAATGACAGAGATCTTGGTTACATAAACCGCAAAAGACCAGCTCAGCCAAAGACCAGCCAAAGACCAGCCCCGCATCCGTTGTGTAATGTTATGCATCATGTAACGTTTTCCGTACCCTCGGCACGACAAGCACTTTGCCCTGCCTTGAGTTATGGCATTTAAGTCAAGGGGTGTTTGTGTGAGTTTACATAATTGTGGCGGTGCCGTACCCCGTACACAACGGAGGGTATCACCCAGGGTTCGTCATCTGTCATCTGGGGGTGGGGTCCTGGCCGGCATCTGCCTTCCGCGCTCATTTAAGTATGAGGAAACAATATCTAACTAAGTTCACATGGTATCTCGATATCGCGGGGACCCCCCCTTGTCTCATCTAGCTGAGCCCCGAGCCTCATCTTGACCGCCTGACAACCCCCGTCAGCCTCATCTAGCTGTCCCGACGCCTCATCTAGCTGCCAGGAGAGGGGCCTCGCGCGCGCATCTGACTGAAAAAGAAACATGTATTTAAATACCGTTTCATGTCCTCCGATATTCATTTGGTTGTAAGTTGACTGGCATCCAGATACATTTTGTGAAAGCCTGCTGGACGCATGGACATGACGATCAACTGATGTGTGTGTGGTTGCTGTGGTTGTTACAGAGGTGGGCTCCAGACTCACGAAGAAAACCCTATAGCCAGCTGGCCAGGTGGCCGTGCATTATTACTGCACTTGAGACCTGAGGCTATACTATAGTAGCTGGCTGCTGAAAGGGCCTCCTAAGGCGCTGGCGGAGCGCCTTAGCGCGTATTTTTATAGACGATATGTGTGTCGCACAATGTAGAGCTAGTACACTATCAGAGAGGGGTTTGTATGAGGCCAAAGCAAGTCGGTTGAAAGAAGATGGATGGGCGTTTCTCCCCAATCATCTCAGGGCATGAATGCCCCGCCCACCCGTAGCTTGCGTCCATCCATCCATGTATATATAATGTGTGCGACAGGGGGGTCCATATCTTCACCTGCGGCCGCTACCTTGCGAAACCCTGCCTTCCCCGGTATTTCGGGGCACCCTCATCCAGTCACCCTAGTCAACTTCTCAGTGGATCGCTCAGGTTCCGCACCCACCACCAGCATCCAAAGGAATCTGCCGGATCGACGGCGGCTCAACTCCATTCCTTGTCAGTTCGCAGGTCAACTTTATCCCAGGTCACCACCGTCCATCGACTAGGGGCACTTTACCTACCACTATCGGATGGATTATTAACCCTGACAAGTCTCGATCCCGGAATCTCCCGGGGGCAGTGGTCCGTGCCTTACCAGTAGTGCCTAACCTAAGTATAATAGGTATGTATGTACGACGTTGATCACAATGTGGCTTAAAAAGGGGGGCCCCAGGGCGGAAACACAGGGGGGGCCCTGACGCATACGGCTGTTTAGTCTCGTGCATTCTGCCCCCGGGCCAGACCGTTCGAGATGCGACGGCCGGCGCAAAGTATACTTAGGGGATGGTAGCCAGCTCGGCCCCCCCCTCCTTTACCGCTCTACCTAGGCGGCCGGCTCCCAAGGCCCTTCCTTACTCACCACGTCCCGCAGCACCAGGACCCCTGAGTGTCGTACCCCGAGAGAAGCCAGCAGCCCGGCAGCACGCACGAACCTAGATGTACGGCCCCTCCTGGGCACCAACCTCCCCCTCATACCGCGCCCTCACTATAGCCACCTGCCGACTCCTACCACACACCTCAACCGCACATCCTCTTGGTGCTCTCTTCACCTCTCCCCCTCCCCCCCCGATCTCACCCCACCCTTCCACCGGGGCCCCCAGCCTTCTCACTCCCCCGGCCGCTGTTGTGGATCCCCCACTCGCCGCCACAGCTCCCTTGAACCCATAACCCCACCCTTCCCGTCTCCTCCCCCCCAGCCCTCTCCACAAACCTCCGTAACCCATCCTTACTCCCCCACTCCCGCCACCTCCCCCCTCATTCTCCCCCCCCACCATGAGGAGGGATTCTAGAAGGCGGAATCAACCGCCTTGAACTCCCATGCAGTTCATATGGCAGTGTAGTAATACAATGTGGTGATGGTGGATGGTGTGCTGTATGGAGTTCAACCCTAGATATATGACAACCCAAATGTCCCCAATTGGCCAGGAAGCCTCCCACTCTGTAACAACATAACAACATAACAACAACAACAACATAACAACATGCCAAGAGCCCCACTCCAAAATGGGGGACTATAACCCTAAGTGCTCCTCGCATAACTCAAATACCCTAGGCCTAAAACACACATACTCACACCGCAATGAAAATAATATGGTACAACGATAGCTGCTCGTCTTCTAGAACCCCTCAACTACTTCTACCTTCCCAGCTCGTACCACACTCAGTACCAAAATTATACATCAGCTTGAAGCCGCACTGCAGGTCAGCTGCTTTGGGAAAACCGCTGCAGTCTGCTCCAGAATCATGCACCCGTGCCCCTGGCAGACATATGCATATGTCCGCCAGAAATGGCAATACAGCACAGAGGTCACCACCACCATCATCAGGACATGTGCACACCCGTGCATCTTACCTTGCACACGACCAGAGTGTTACTCGAGGTACGCAGGGTACATACGCACACACATGCACACATACGCATGTAGTCATGTGTTGTATCATGACTTCAGAAAAGTACCGATCGGCGGATGTCAGAATCCCGTGATACGCCCAGCCCAGCCCAGGATACGACATCTAGGTGCCCAGGGTCAATGAGATTGTTGGCGTGATATGGCGAGTGGCCTCCTTTCGCTTCCTCGCCTAGTTTATGCAAGTATTCTCAGGCACCTCTGTGCAGTATGCTTAAGATGACACAACCAAGGAATGGTGGTATTGAAAGATACCGATAGAGACAAGTGGTTTGGATAATTGTTGACTTAGATGCGACAGAGTGAAGCGGTCGGAGTCTCTAAGTCTGGTTCTGTGCGACTGTCGTACAACCGTATTCGAGTGGCGAGTATATCGCGCTTCAGTTCCTTCGTTGCAGGCATTCTGCCTTTCACTCAGTAGAGCTTCAGTTAAGGGCTGACAGTTAAGGGCCATGGCAGCCGGTCCCGTCTCTACCATTCTAAGCACGGTTAGCTTGAGACTGTCAGCTTCGCCTCGTGACTCCTAATGCCTGGCCATGGTGCTTTTGTGCCGTTGCGGATATGGGCTGACCACTGCTTATCGATGTTGCTAAACGTCTGGCGGGAAGTTGTTTGTACTCGGGCACGACCGCAACCCCCTCTCCTAGGTGCACAAACACGATGGCAGCACTCGGCGTCACGCCACCATCGGTCACCCTTACCAAACCTTCATAACGGGGATCATCTGTCCATAAATAAACATGTTAGCACTATGGCAGCTGACGACAAGGCGCTTTGCCACGCGCTGTCGCAAATCCAGGTACGGTGGAATGTAGTTCTGTTGCTTAGGCATCAAAGGGAGGACCCTTGTTTGAAGAGTATGCCAGCCGCAAACGTGCTTCACCGCACGTGACGCGGTACCAGGGACCTTGCTTTTCCACTCCCCTTGTGCGCTGGTCCGTCAGCTGTCCAGGAAAAAGCGATCCTGAATGCAGCCCCATATGGTACACCTGGATGCCATACTCCCCCCGACTGAATGCCGTCCCCCCAAAACCCCTTTCCATGACGCAATCCACACACGCAGGTATGTAGCCACCGAGCCTCACTGGGCTCCAGCGACAAGGGCATTGACGCGCCCTTTCTGGAGCGGCTCTCCCGCCTAGCAGCCAGCGGCATCACCTGCTACGACGTCGACGTCACCGCCACTGCCGAGGGGCAGCTCGTAGTCGGCTACCCCAACCACATCATCACCGAGCATCTCCGGCGTGCGTGAGGGAGGAAAGAGGGTGGGCATTCTTGTGCATGGGGGCGAAATCCATCGTGGCCGTTCCGATGGGATGGGGGAAATTGCGGCGGCTTCCATGTAATTCAAAGCACGGTACTGTAACTCTGAGCCGTTGCTGCCTCCGGTGGTGAGTAACAGCTTCTTTTACTCTGCGTTGGTGTGTTGAGAATCATAACCTGGAAGCTTGAAGCTTGGAGCCTTTGAGGCAGCGAAGGTGGTTGACTGCTTCCTCCTCCGTAGAGGTAGCGGAAAGGGAAGAGTGAAAAGCTGCCTCGTTCTTGGCAGTTCGTGAGTTCGTGGCAGGCAAGGATGGCCGGCTGATTGAGTGCTGATGCGGATTGGAGCATGTCGCCCGCAGGATAACCCTGACTTCCATTTTCCTAGGATGTATTCCTGAGCTGGCACATGGGGGCTTCGGCGGCCGCGTGGTCTCGGCCGCAAGGTGATAACTTGATCGTACTTTTCTTGCCCATACTCTTGGCACCTTGATGTCGTGTTATGTTGGCGATTCATGAGGTTCGGATTCCAGGTCGATTATTTGTATTCGTACACCTAGTACGATGCAAACACATCATCGATGCATTTGTAAGTCTTCACATCCGTACACGCACAGGGCCTGGATCTGGTGCCATACCAAACACATTTACAAACGCCTGTTAAACACACCAGCTCACACAAACAGTGTTTTGAAGGATGGAGCCGAACGAGAAGCAGAATAGAATAAGCGAACACAGGCGCACTAAAGGGGCGCCTGCACAGAGGCTGAGAACCTGTGGGCAAGGGTGCTGCCGGGGCAGACGCACATGCACCCCACCATCCGAAAATTTCCCACAGCGGTTTAGCAGGATGTGCCATTGCCCTAGGACCTTTCGCATAGCTCATCCGCATGCAGATGCGCTCCTACCTATGCGTCATTCATGCCACACGTAAAGTGGGAAGAAACGAGGCCACATAGCCCTGCGTACCAAACCAAACATGTGACTGGCGCACATTAAATCCGGCCCCGTCGTACACTAGCGCAGACGAGGCCGCCGCATACATTCTGACGTGATAGGCTCCCCCACCTACGTCGGGGAAACACCACCCATTCCTCACGTCAGGTCGTAGTAATGTCCTATGTTATTAAACAACGAATTGCCCCCGAGCATGTACTACATATACTACATTTATTAAATCTGTTAGTCTGCCAGGCACGCCGTGAAGCTGCTCGCCAGCTGTTTTCGGTCCAGGTGCCGCCCAATGAAAACGATGCGGTTCACTCACCTCTTTCCATCCTACCGGCGGCTACGACATGTTCATCGTGGAGCTCTGCTTCATTGTTATGGAAGACTGTCTGGGGATTCACCTCGCCCTTCACGTCCCCCTAGGCTCTGGCGTCGTTGCTCTTCCTCGGAATTGATCTGGTATATCAAGGCTATGGAGCAGCTGCTCCATAGTCAGCTGCAGCTCCAGCTTCATCTGGAGCGTTCGGGCAAGCCTTCCTGAGACGACGCTTCTAAATTCAAGATGGCTCCACACTGCCAGTGACAGAAGTTCGTCGTGTTTCGCGTTTCACGTTTGTTGGTCTGAGGGCTTATACTTCGCCCTTTGTGTGTTTGGATTTCGTCGCCCTCGTCGGTCTGTGTGAACGGCTCGGCGTGCTTCGCGGGTCCGTCTCGTATAGTAGGTAGCTGCGTTCCCGTCTCTCCGGGGGGAGCTCTCGTGCGTTCACTAGGGCTTCTGGGTACTGGTGGGGGACTGGGCGTTTTGCGTCTTGGAGGTCCGTTTTGCTTTTCTGGGGCGAAGGCTCGCATCCGGTTTTGTCAGGTGGGATTTTTCCTTGGTAAGGCTATGCTTCGCCTTTCTTATACGCCCGTCCTGGGCTTTTATCGCCTGTTTCAGGTATGTGTAAGTGCGCCCTGGCCTGACTAACAGGACACTGCAGTGTGCTGATGCACTCGGGGTCAGCTGTAACAAACCGCGTACTGCTTTAAAGACCAGTATCTCAGACGGAGAAAAGATCGTCCTTGTCGACTTGTCTTTTCCTATTTTAGACTGAAAACATGAACCCTAAGAATGGTCACTGTTGGGATAATTTAACGGCGGACCTTGTCGAGCGTGTTGTTAGCTTCCTGGATCCAAACGAGGTGGTATGTACCGTCAAGGAAATCAATAAGGCCATGGCGAGCCAGTTTCGGGAAAAAGTAGCTATCCGGCTGTCGCAGCCCGTACCCCATCACGCGTTCAACAGGCACTGGAGCCGCCCGGAGGCAGTTCACAACTTCACTCCAAGTAAACGCCGAAAGCTCGTACTCCTGACAGCCCGCAGCGGCAGCCTGGCCAACCTGCAGGTCGCTGTCAAGGCAGCGGGCTGCGAGCTCTCCTGGGAGGTCTTCAACGCAGCAGCCGAGGGCGGCAATATTGAGATGTGCCAGTGGCTGCAGGAAGAAGACTGCCTCTTCATTTCTGAGAAAGCGGCAGCAGCAGCTGCCCGAGGTGGCCATCTGGAAACGGTCCGGTGGCTACTGCAACAGGAGCGTGATTTTCGAGAGCTACGGAAAGCTGGTTCCCAAGCATTCATGGCAGCCGCCTGTGCCGGTCATCAGGCTGTGTGTGATGGGCTCATGGAGGACGGTACTCCGTTGAAACACTGGATGGGTCTTGCTGGTGCCGCCCGCGGTGGCCATGTGGGCCTCACACACTGGCTCCTTCAGCAGTTTGAGCCAGAAGAAAGGCCAGTGTCGAGGCTCAGAGAGCCGTGGAAAGCCAAGGTTATCACGGAAGCTGCATATGGCTTCAACCTGGCGGCATTGCAGGATCTACACCGGACCTTCCTGAGGTACGGTGGTGATAGTGGTGATAGTGGCGATAGTGGCGATAGTGGTGATAGTGGTGATAGTGGCGATAGTGGTGATAGTGGCGATGATGCCAGCAGCCTACTAACCCGCATCACCCTTGTGGAGGCCCTGGTGAGCCCCACCCCCGACTGGCGGGCCAAGGTGGAGTGGCTGCAGGGTCAGGGCTGCCGCTTCGGTGGTGACCTTGAGTCCTTAGATGAGGAGGCCCTTGCGTCCTTAGATGAGGAGGCCCTTGCCAGGAGTCCGGATGCTGTGGAGCGGGTACAGCGGCTGCTTGTGGAGTTAGAGGAAAAGGATGTCGTACCATGGGTTTTCATCAGCGCCGTACGTGCTGATAACCTGCCCCTGATACGCTACTTGCGAGTGGGGAGGGACTGGCTTCCAGAACGCACGAAGGAGGCTGTGGCAACAGCAGCCTATGCCGGCAACAAGGCGCTGCTGGTCGAGCTGTTGACCTTGGGCTGGGAGCTTGATGGGTGGACTGTGGTGACCGCAGTTCAGGGAGGTCACCTGCACATTCTTAAATGGATGGGTGCATGTGTTGGTTGGAAGCACATCCAGGAGCTCCTCCAGAAGTACCAGGATCTATTGCCACATGTAACATCTTTTAATAGTGTGGAAGTCGTGGAATGGCTGCTAAACGAGCTAGCCTTGCCCTGGAGTGGAGAGGAGCTTTTCAATGCAGCGGTGAGGGCAGGCAGTCCCGCAGTATTGGAGTGGCTTGTGGCCCGGGGCATCCCCATGGGGGTGAGTGGCTCGCTTGCATGAGTTCGGGTGCATGTTCTTGTTCTTGATGCGTGCTGGTGTTGGTGCTGCTCAGCTCTACTGCTCATCACTGAATGTATGCCACGCACTGTCTTGGCTGATTGCAATGTGAAGGACCTCTCATTCTTGGCTTTCATCCGGTCTGCATCATTTCTGCTGCTGACCTCTGGACTGGATGGTAAAGGACCTGTCACTAGGTTTCCATTTGACTGTCTGATGATCTGCATTTATGTATTCGGAATGTAGTGGTGGTCGTACACTCTGGCGCACGCAGTCAATTCATACACATGGTGGGAGCACATTTCCAGCATCTCGAGAGGCCTTTTCAGCCGCCATCTATTACGGCTGTTTTCTCGGGAACCAGCTTCATACGCCTCGCTCGTTGCTATGTTGCAGGACGATGGTGAGCTTTACGTAACGGCAGCACACTTTCACGACCTGGTCTTCCTGCGTTGCCTGAGGCGGCTGGGCTGCCCCTGGGGCCCCGGCGTCTTCAGCCGAGCGGTGTACGACAAGGGTGCGCTGTACGACAAGGGTGGTCGCGGTAACCTAGAGGTCCTTCAGTGGCTGCACGCCGAGGGCTGCCCGGTGGACTGGGAGGAGGCCAGGAGCAGGGCCAAGATCCGAAAAGATGAATGTTGTGATGCAAGATGTGCCGCTGTTCATGCCTGGATTGAGAGCATAGCGCCGAAGTAGCTGTTGGGACGAGCCAGCGGGGTCTACAATAGTAGCAGATGTGCGTATTAAGCAAAGCAAATAAACAGCAGCGAGTTTCTATGGGGGAGAGGGAACTTGAAGTCGGAGGGGATGATGGGGAGGGTTTACGATAGACGCCTGATTGGGAAGTGGGAACCTGAATGCCTGGCAAGGATGCTGGAACGTATGTGGTCCCACCACAACTCTATCGTTCCCATTGGTCGTTAGTCTCCTTTATCACTTGCTTTGTCTGAAGTGCTTATGGGTGACCTGGCAGCCCTTGAGCCCTTGGCTCATATTGGGTGGTTTCCAGGTACTCCCCGTAGTATGAGAATGCAACCACACACACAGATGGCCTGATTGGAGTGAAGTGGAGGGGCAGCAGTGGAGGGGATCATTGTAAGAGCCTGGCTTAGGACTTAAGATATTTCAGCGTAGGGACTCCATTCCTTTTTATCATTCCATGGTCGAGGCGAATATCATACACACAGTACATACAACTATCTTAGTCATCTTTTGACTATAGCCATACTAAGCAGTACATGGCTACGGCTATGGCTGTAACGATCTGTACACATACTCGAAACTTGCACACGTCTGCCCGTTCACGGCCAGACCTGTATCTTAACTCTTCTCTGGAAGGTGCGACTCTACTATTGTACGGCATCTTATCCCGAGCGCCTCAGAGGCCCTATGGCATAAACATGCCGGTTACCGACCGTTTGGGGCCCATTAACCCAACCGGCCGGTTGAATGGTGTTAACGGCCCGGTTGGGTTAACGGTCGGTTGGGTTAATGGCCAGTTGGGTTAAGGGTCGGTTGGGTTAATGGTCAGTTGGGTTAATGGTCGGTCTGGACTGTGTGTAAGAACTTGCTTGAATCGTTACAGCTACCCAGTCCAGGTATTCATCCTACCTAGCAACCTGCCTGCATGCCTACACACCTGGGACAGTACTGTTATCACTGCCTCCCACATCATCTTGGCACCATGCCCTTAAGCAATTCATACCTAAATTTATCCTTGTCATACTTAATGTGTGCACAGCACTGTCACCCGTGTCACCTGGCATTCACCTTGACTGCACAAGGCCATCACACCTGTCACCTGGAATCTGCATAAACCTGCCTGCACAAGGCTGTCACCTCTGTCACAAGCCTGCGCGCATTGTTGTCACCCTAGGACTGCAAGCGACTATAAAATCCCAAGGGAAACGCCCGGTGTTTATCAACACCTTCATAAGTGGTCTAGTCGCTAAATCCGTCTAGGTAACCAGGTAGGCTCTCACAGTCATAATGCGACCATTCGTGGGGGCCACAGCCCGGTGAAGCAGTACAGCCCGGTGAATGCAGCGGTGCATTTGAGCGAGGGGCTGCTTAACAAGGCCAAACCTCCATATGATTACTCCAACAGTATTATCCCACCTATTTGCAAGGCAATGTTATCAGATGGCTGCACAATTACGTGACATGATGGGGCACTTGTGCTGCTCTTGCGCCGCTACATGCATGGTGTCGTGCAGCTTCTGCACCAGCACTTCCCGTGCATGATGTCGACCCAACTGCAATGCGCCACAAGTGACGGAATTCTGGTCTCCTTATGCACTACGGTGATTCAGCACCGCAAGCACCGCACTCGCTGCACAACAGCAAACTTTACCAAGGCGCTGGCGGTTCCTAAGAAGGAGACAGAACACATAGATGTTGTGTCGCACATCCACAATGCCGAAATGATTCTTTGCTGACAGGTCCTGACATGTGCCGCTGGACTGCTGTTTTGGGTGTTCATTGAGGAGTGAACACACTCACTCACCTCAAGAAGCCATGACGTTGACCCTGCCAGAGGTGGTATAACGGTTGGATATTCTCCAGCCGTTCCATGGGCCCCTCCGGTGGACAAACTCCTGCCCCTACCTGCAACCTTCCTACCTCACCCGTGTGGGATCCGCAGGGGACACCCCACACCTTGTATATGCACCCTCGTGGTCAGGTACACATGGCTCTTCTACACATATTGGCCTCAGAAATCCGAGAATTCAACTGATGGCCTCACCCAAGTATTGTCATGTATCTGAGAAAGTGGTGTTTTAATCATTCGTTCCTGTATGTGTCTGTGTGTGTATGTATGTATGTGTGTCGACCGGAATACGTATACACACAAAGCAGCAGTGCTCTTGTTGTACATGCCAACAGAGCATGCAAATAAATACTTCACTCACAACTTCATGCATCCAACTGAATTGCCAAGTAACAGCCTCACATGTGCATTCACATGAAAAGAATGACTTCATAGTGGATCTGACAAGCCCGAAGTGAACCCCCCAGATGCTAGAGTGAGAGCATGGCGATCCTTGATGGTATGGCCCAGCAACCTTGCATGCCAAGAGCCCCACTCCTGTGCCGCACATCACAACAACAACAACAACATAACAACAACAACAAGCTTAGCTAGCTGGCTAGGTATGGCGCCCACCCCTCCTGTCATAGCTCCAAATGGCCCTCTAGAAACCCCCGGGTGGCGGCTCCGGCCGCTGCGGGTGCGGGTGCGGGTGCTGGTGCTGCCGCCTGCGGGTCCTGTGTAGGCTGCAACCCGCTACTGGTGCTGGTGCTGCTTGGGAAGGGAATGCGCCACACCTGCAGCACCACACCACACCACACCACACCACACGGGCATCACAGCTATATTCCACACGTGTAATACAGCAGTAGCCACAGCTAAGTAGACACAGCCGATAGCCATTAATTCGCTACTTTCCTCTGCTATGTGCAATCTTGAATGAAAAAACGATGGCGATAATGATGATGATGATGATGATGGTGGTGGTGGTGGTGGTAATGATGATGATGATAATGGTGATACACACACATCACCTCGCGACGCTCGCGCTCTATCTCACGCACAAGCCTCTCCCTCCCCTCCACCACCAGCCAAACCGGCCCTCCCCACCCGCTGTTGTTGTACGTGCACATGACGTCATTTCCAACCGCTCTGCCTCCATCACCGCGCCCGTCCACCACCACCAGCGCCGCAGCTCATCTGGTACATCGCCACCCCCACCACCCGCACCTCCACCGTCCCGGCCGCACCCCCCCTCCCCCCCCCCAGCCCCCAGCCCCCAACACTCCCCTGCACTCCCAGCACCACCTGCCTTTATTATTCTGTACGCCAGGTGTAGCCCAATTAGGACATAGGCCCACCAGGGTACGGCCCACCAGGGAAACCTGCCTGGGCCCCCTCCTCCTCCGCCGCCGCCTGGGCCCCCCCGCCGCCGGGTCCGGGCCCTCTCCCCCCCGCCATCCGCCATCATCTTCTCCGCTATGTTGCGACTCCGACTGCGAGCCAGCGCTATCTGCATCTTGTGCATCACCAGATCAGCCTCGCGGGAGGCCAGGGTGGACTCGGCCTAAGTAAATAGGCCGCACACGCAGAGCGGGCGGGGAAGGTGGCGGGGAAGGTGGCGGGGAAGGTGGCGGGGAAGGTGGCGGGGAAGGTTGGGGTTTTGCGCTGCTCGGGATGTTGGTTGGGGGATTGATTAAGGGGAGCGGTGGGTAGATTCACCTTGCTGCAACGGCTTGCAGACGGGCGGTGGTGGTGATGGTGGTGGTAGTGGGAAGAGATGGAGGGTGCATGTGTGTGCGTGTGGTGGTGGGGGATTAAAATTGGTAAAACTGCCAATCCAGGTCACCTTCATTCGAACGGTAGTGGATAGTGGGAGTGTTAGACCCTCAGGTCCCCCTCTTTTGCACCGCTTCTCCTGCTCCCCCGCCCTCCCCGCCCTCCCCGCCTCCCGCCCTCCCACATGACCCACATGAACACACATGTCACGCCCCCCTCCCCGCTCCTACACTCTTGCCCTGGCAGCAGCTTCACTCGTTCGTGGTTCGTCTTTCCCCCCTCCTCCCCCCTCCCCCCTCCAGGGCGCACCAGTGGAAGTGGCGAACGAGCAACTCCTCTGAAGCCCCCCCCCCCTGAAGGCACCTCCGTCGCCCACGGAATACCCCTCCCAGCGCACTCCCCCCCCCCACCAGGCCGACCAATCAACGAGAAAGCAATCAGCAGCCACCCTAACCACCCACCTTCCTCATCTTTGGATCCAAAAATAGCAGATCTTCTGGATCCAACTCCGGATCGCCGTCCTCAGAAGTACGACCGTCTCGCCGGTTTGCGCTATCAATTGTAGCAGCAGTAGCGGCAGTAGCAGCACTGCTACCCGCCAGCCCTCCCCCCGGCCCCCTCCTGCTCGCCACCGCCACATTCGGACAGGTGCTGGCGCTGGCGCTCGTTGTCGTAACGTCGCCGTACAGCTCCCCGCGCTGGAACATGTTGCCGTACATGCCGCGCTCTTGCCTGCGAAAATGTGAGGTATATATAGCCACA